CTCTCATATTTAATCAATTGACACTTTCCATGAAAACATCATGATTTTTTTGATTAATGTATATTTTCTGACAGAAATCTGCCATCAGCATTTTTTGATGTTCTCTAAATAAGACCCAAAAATCATGTTGTGTACTTTTTGAAATGTAGCTTCTCAAGAATATAAAACAGTCTCTAATTGCTTGGACTTAGGAAGAAGGAATTACTTGGCTTTTCAAACCCTGGTCTTTGAAAGCTGTGCCATATGTCAGAGGAGGACGCACTTCCCAATAATAAAAAATATCAGGTTCTGGATAGATTTTTCTTAGGTATGTATCTGTATATAATAAACCTAAATGTGCAATCCTCATGCGTGACTACCAATTGTTATATTTTTGCTCAAGGAGGACAATAAAATTACTTACCTAAATTCTTAAACTGATGCTTCTGCCACTCCTGTGCCTGTTTCAGGTGTATTGGGGTCTGCCCAGTTGTTAATGAAGTTGAATTAATTTTAAAGTCAACCCTGGATTAGCTCTGTACAAGGTTTGTTTCCAAACCATGCAATTTGGATTGGCATATATATGGCAATACCTGGGCCTGTCGAGGTAATGGCATATTTTATTATAAACCACGGTTGCACTTTGAATGAGAACACTAAATCTTTTTTCACACAGCAGAGCAAAAGGAGAAATTTCTTCCACTGCGTTTTCATCTTACACATCTGATTTATCCTGCCTAAAATGGCAATGCTTTTGACCTCCTTGAGATTTGTATATTATGTTGTAAGCCCTGATAGATCATAGTAGGTTTTGAAACTTACCATCTTTTATTCTGAGACTGTGAACTCTGAGCTCCTAAATAATCAGAACAGGAAAAATGGTAAAGGATAAATTAACCTATTAAAAATGTGCTAAATTACTTAGTCCTGCAAACCAGTTAAGTAATGAAAAAAAGTTAATTCACTTGGAGTTCTTATTTTTTTCTTAATGTGCTGCTCAGTAGGGCAGGCTAGAAACACTGGTGGGATTGGAGCAGGGGAAAGAACGTGACTGGTGGGGACCCATCTGAGAGAGAAGACCAGAGATTGTAGGAGGACACACAGGGGCTGCCTGAAAGATGGCTTTACATGAACTTTTTCTTAAATCTTTCTGGTTTTTCTGCAATGTGTATATTTGCTGAGAAGTCGAGCATGCAGTCTGCTCTCTCGCTAGGCATTGGACCCAGCAAGGATGCTGCAGTTTACCCTGAGCTGCGTTGAGCCAAAATGGGCTCTGCAATGCACGCAGCCTGAGGGCCAGGTGCCAGCCCCCGCTCCACAATCCTATCTCCAGTACATAAACACAAATGGCTTTCCTTGCTTAGCTTCTTCATTTATTTTGAGTCTATTCTTACAATGTAATCAGCTATGGCTCTGGGGGAGGCATTTCTTCTGAGTGCAAAACAGAAAACGGAATGAACCTGGTCAAAATAGGTTCTAGTAGGAGTAATGACTTGCAAGGTGATTGCTGCTGATTGCACATGCAAGTTTTTGCTGGTGGACAGGGTAGGAAGGAAGAAGGAGAGTTTCTGTGTGCACACTGTATCATAACAAGGAACTTTGTGTTATTTTCCATGTTCTGCAAAGTCATTTAAGCAAGCCCAAAAGTGCTAGGGCTGACGTGTGCTGCCCAGACAGAGGTTACTCAGTAGAGCTCTGCCCCCACCCTGGGTCTATCGAAACTCCAAGAGTACTTTTGTGCTCTAACTCTATAACTTGTATTTGAAATCGTAATTGGCTTTTAAATCAAAAACCTCAATGTAAACAAATATATTCTCCATGCCCACACTTCAGGGCAGAGCAGAGAGAAAAGTCTGAATTTTACAGTCATAATTGTATATTCATTTGAGAATGGAAGACTAGGCAAAGCCACCATTTTATTTGACTGAGTAAAGCTTTGGAAGGTAAATGGTGCATGTATGGAATACTGAACTCTTTTCATATCAGTATTTTCTGGATAAATGCTATTTAAGTCAATGTAAAAATCCTTAAAAAGTACAAATTCCCTAGTTAGGTTTCTTACGCAGTTGGCTCTATGTATGGGATATATTTGTCTACTTAGATAGAAAGTCATATTTAACTATTTTATTTTAGACTAGTCATTAACTATGCAAAACCCAATTCATGTTAAAAATGCAGTTCTCTTCCAACAAAGATTCAATGTCACTCTTGTTTTATTGCATATCAGTAAATTATGAATCAATTGTGCTCACTTTGGCAATAAAGGCTGTTTTTTAAGACAATGAGATTATACAAGGGCTTTCAGAATTATATTTAGTCAACAGTTAGGTTGATGTTTGAGTCAGAAGGTGATTCAGCTCACTTTTTTAGAGCTGTGTGGGTTCTGCATGGCGAATGGGATACAAATCTTTCATATTTATTTCAAGGAGAGCAGAGAGATTATGTGTGGCTAAAGCAAGACTGTTGGGTAAGAAAGGATTGTCCTATCCAGTATACCTGGCAGTTTTCCATAATCTGTTTTCAAGGTAAACTTGTGCAGCTACTGAAAACTTAATTACATACAAAAGTACCTTTTTGTGCTTCTGACTGCTCTTGACTTCCTAAAGATGGGAGTCCAGCACATGCCTATTGTCCATATCCACCTGTCTCAACATTGACAGATTTCACTTCGTAAGACTTAATGCTTCATGGATGCATTTTGGTTGCTGTAGGCAAGATTCAAAATGTTGCCCGCACTTCCAGCTTCTGCTTCTAAAGGCAAGAATTTAAAAACCACCTCTGTGCTCTACCTGGAAGGTTGCCTGGGCACTGGAGTTGAATTCTATAGCTACTCAAGACTCCCTGGATAGCTAGGAATGCACTTTGTCCAGTGCGTTGTTATCAGAAAGCTGTATCTACTGCAGAATGTCAGAACTTGATTAAGTCATGGGGAAGGTGGAAATGATGTGCTCTAAGTCATTCATACAGAGTCGTTCATAGAGCATTTTATGTCAGCTATAACAGTCTAGCAGGTCCTAGCAGAATATAAATCTGATCAAAATAAGATAAGTCACTGTTAAGAGGCTTTATTGTTGCGATAGCAGTTAAGGTTAAGTAAATATGTCTATCCTGCCCTCACAGTTTTCACTTGATAAGGAAAACCTTTTATCATTTAAGCTGAAATTTTCTGCTCTGTCCTTACCAGAACATGGTTTGTGTGGGGCTCTTTACTCTGGTCTTGCTACATAGAGGAATATACTTTGCAAACTAAAGGTTCACTGTTTCAATATCGTAGTGCTATTTTTGCTGTCCTTCTAATAGCTTGGCTTCATTAAAGTGCACCCAAACGTTAAGGCTTAAGAGCAAGTCCAACCACAGTATTTGTGTAGTTCCTGATAGTACTGTTTCATGCAAAATTTCTGCAAGCTATAGTTGTTGCTGTAATTTAGGATGTGAGCTGAGGTACAGGGGTAATGGAGAATGCGACCTGACCAACACAGAAGTGGATCTTTGCAGAGTCATGTTGTAGAATGACAGATCTCGTGCTCTGATTCAGCTGGGAGAGCTGATGCTGAGATCCAAGCAGACACGTAGTGCAAGGAAGACTCACTCTTGTTCGGCAGAACTTCACATGAGAAGCTCTGTGCCTCCTGCTTTTGATCAGGAAGAGTTTTTCAGAGTCCCAAGGCTGGAAGCTGTTAAACTAAGGCACAGTATTTATTGGTTTCAACTCTTAGTTTGGGGTCACAATCACGACACTACCTTTTGCACAGGGATGTAGAACTGCTCTTCAGTGCTGCCCTGTCCATCGGGTTTGTCCGTGCCACCGCTCTCAGGTGTATTGATTTTTCACTGCTTCTGTAGGAGAACAGAGAATGTCCCTGTCTCCATAGCCCTTACCTGGGGACTAAAGCAATGCCACGGGGTGGGACCATGAAAAATACCACTTTTAAAATGAAGCTTAATTAGCTTATGGAAGGGATTAGAGGAGAGGGGACTGCAAGGACTGGTGTCTGCATCCCTCGTATTGCAGGCTCGATGTTCCTAATTTGGTTTAATGTAATCTGGTGTCTGACTGGATAACCTTGTTACGCTGATACAGTCCTGGCAACCCCTAGAGCCTCCCTCCCCACCCTCCCACCCTCACCCCCTTCTCATGGAATAGTTGGAGCTAGCAGACAAGGCGCAAGACCAGTGAAAAGCTAGAGTAATGACAGCATGGGACTGCAAGGCATCTTACATTATGGGAGGAAGAGGACCAGCATATGCATTGTAGTGCTGAAAACATTCCCCGTGATGCGGGACAGCAACACTAACCACGTGTTGTCTGTGACTTGTTCTGTGACGTGCTCTCTGGGGGATGTCAGTGTGCAGGATAAGGCTCCAGTGTGGTGGCAGAGACACAGAACTCAAAAGCTCCTAGGCATGATCTGCATGGTTCTGTGTGTGAAGCAAAAGCAGATTTGAAAGTCACAGGACTAATAACAGTGAACTGGGCAGGAATTGGAGGTGCAAAAGAAAAGGTGGTATCTGGTTGTAGTGCACAGGAATCCTGTCAGCTGGGATGGGGGCAGCACTCTCTCTGGAGGGCTTGGACACCTTCCTTCTGGGTTGTTTTGGGGAAGGCACTGCTTTAACACACATATGGACAGGTTAAAGACTCCAGAAAAAGGCCAAAACAGCTGCTGAGGATAAAAGGAACAGATAGTGTAAAAGTGGAAAAAGTAAATGCATGCAGCCTCACAGACCTGTGTTCTACAAACTAATGAGTGTGCAAAGCAGAGGAAGAAGCTATTCAGTGTGTTGTATTTGTATCATACAGGAGTAGGACAAAGAATACAGGGGCGAGGTTTCCTGATGAGATCTGTCAGACAGTGGGTACACCTGCAGAGGAGTTAGCTGACATGCCATCATTTTGGCCTTGTTTTCCTGCTTTAGGAAAGTTAATTCTCCTTTAAATTGCTGGTGTTGGACATTCCTTGTAAGGATCAGGAGTGAGCTTATCTTCCCTTCTTGCTTTTGTCCTAGGTCCAACACGAAAAATGCCCCTGACTGCCAGTGCCATGGACTTTTTTCAGCTCTTTGTACCTGACAACGTACTAAAGAATATGGTGGTCCAAACCAACATGTATGCCAAGAAGTACCAGGAGAGGTTCGGTAGTGATGACGCCTGGATTGACGTCACCTTGACAGAAATGAAGGCCTTCTTAGGGTACATGATATCAACCAGCATCCACCACTGTGAGTCTGTTCTCAGCATCTGGAGCAGCGGCTTCTACAGCAACAAAAGCATTGCACTTATCATGACGCAATCACGATTTGAGAAGATCCTGAAGTACTTCCACATTGTGGCCTTCCGCTCAAGCCAGACAACACATGGCCTCTACAAAATACAGCCTTTTCTGGACTCTCTGCAGAATGGCTTTGACTCTGCTTTTAGACCTTCACAAGCCCAGGTAAGAGTTAACCTGTTGGCAGGGAACATCCAACCTATGTGCTCTAGGTTGTCTCACTATGACTGAAAGTGCAGAGCACAGCTGCCTGAAGAAGGAGCTGGGGCTTCACAGTGCGAAGCCATGCTGCAGTGCCTCCATGAAGCATGAGAAAAGCAGCACTGTCCTATGCAGGTGCTAAGCAATGCCTGACCTACAGCCTGCAGTGCAGGTACCTGGCTTGTTTCAATAGGAATGATGCTCTCCGAGCTGGCTCTGGTTGCTTTAGTGGTCTGAACAAGCCTGGAGACTTCTCAGTGAGGCTGGCACCACTAGGTTTTGATATCCTGACAATGGGAGGTTGCAGGCTGCTCCTGCAGGCTGTGAGGGAGAGTGGAAAGGGCAGAGCTGGTGCAGCTGGGCTAGAGGGAAAACCTGCAGCTGCTCCTGCTACAGGCTGAAGGTTGGATGTGGGAGCCGAGTTTGCTAGGCGTGACCGTCCCTGACCGTAGCAGTAGGTGCTTGCCATATGGTCCAGCAGCACAGCTACCTCCTCATAACTGGGCAAAGGGAAAATAAGCAGGGGGACAGATGCCTTTGCTCTCTGCAGTTGTCAGCTGCCCTCAGCAGCACTGCCTGTGCCTTGTGCCAGTCCTGGTTTTTAATTATGAGAGATGCTTCTGTGGAAAAACTTATTGATGTGTGGATTATGCAGACAAAGTGCCAGTGAACTGGAAATAGTTCTAGACTACCAGGAATAAAAGTAAACAAGACTCCAATGAATTTTTGTTTCCAGATACAGTTAGGGGTACAGCAGAATGCCATTCTGTAGGGGAACTTCTCTGTAGGCTGGGCAGACAATGAAAGGAACTAAATATAGAAACTTTTGTAGCTGGTGGTTGTCTGACTACAGCTGTACAGTTGACCTTTTTTTTTTTTTTAAAAATTGCAAAGAAATCTTTTCTTAATATTCATCATACACTATATTTAAACTGTGTTGCGGTATAAATGATCTCCTTTCGGAGCTGTTGTATGGGTTCCATTCAGGAGTCTGGAAAGAAAAAGGAATAAGCTTGAAATATGTTACTGCTTGAAATAACTTGGCAATCAACTCTCTCTTTTCAGAATGTAAAGATTTCACCTAGACTTTTGGAAAGGGTGTTGTGTCCATTGTTGTCTTTTTCTTCCTGTTTCCCCTTTGAAGCATCAAATTTTTGCCCCCTGCACAAAATTAACGAATACATAGATGCATCACATCCATTGAAGTGCCTGGAATCCCTGGGATTACAGTTTTTTCCAATTTTGTAGAGATTAAAAATATTACCTGTGTAATTCAGGACAACAAAGCTGTCTGAAAAGCTGTTACAGTGGAGGAGGGAGAAGTGTTCTCACTAAGCAATGCCAGCAAGGTGCATTTCCATCAAGACAAAACAGGCAGTGGGAGACATGGTATTGCTGGGACTGAGCACTCATTAAGATATGAAATCTAATCCTTATGGCCACTGAGTTCAATGAGCGGAAGATAAAGGCTTCAGAAATGTGATCACTGTGTCTAATGTAAATGCTTATAATGGTGTGCTGCGGGACATGCTGTGAGTGTAAAACCATTAAAGGATAAAATTTTATTTGCATGTATATCCCTTCTCACTTCCCCGCTCCCAAGCAGGGTTTGAGAACTAAACTGACAAAATCACAGTGTTCTGTTTGCAGTGGGAAAACATCTAAATCTCCACAAGCAAAATGTATGCTTGTGCTGAGCTTGGTAAGGGGATGCTACTTTAAGAAAAAAAAAAAAGAGGGAGAAGAAGTAGTGACAGCCCAGTTCTCTTCCTTTGCCCTCCGCTTCTCTGCTCCCTTGTCAGTGTTTACGTCAGTGATTTCTATACATCATGTTTCAGTGGTATTGTGTGGAACAAAAAGCACTAAAATACAGCTTCAAAAATAACTCTGTGAGAAAGAAAAAGGTTTTGAATTAATTGTTAAAAATACTCTAGTGTAGCACTGGTAGCCTACTGGGGGATGTTCCAGGTCTCCTTCCAAAAGGAGCCTTGTGCCTTTTGTCCTCCTCGGTGCCATCAGGCAGAGCTGCACACTGCCTGTCTCAAGAGATGGGGACCTTGGCTGCTCAAAACAGCCCGAAAGACCCGTCCCTAGAACTTGTCTTGAGTGCAGATTATCAGACTGCAGTAAACATCAAACCCAGAATGTCAGGCTGAGTGAGAAATAATGGAAATAACTAAAAATAACCCAGTTGCACAGAAACAAAGGGAAAAGGCAAGGGGAAAGGCCCATTCAGATGGGCTTTTGGATGTGCTGCCTCAGAAAGCGTTTAGTCAGTGACACCTGGAATCCCAAGGTCAAAATGAATTCATTGCTTAAGGTACACCTGTATCTTAACATGAGACTTGTGGTATCTGGGTGGCTTGTGCCTGAGCCGTGACCTGTGCTCAGGCTTTAGGCTAACATCTTGTAAGTGGCATCAAGCAGATGAATGACTTGGGCTCTACGCTGTTGAATGCAGTGAGGCTGTTTGGCCTTGTAGGTAGACTTGTTATGGACTTTCTTCCTCTGGCAGTGGAAGGAAGGAAGGTTAGGAAGATGCTGTGTTTAACTCACCCCTACGGACAGACCAGACAGTCTGAGTTCAGCTGGCAGTGCAAACATCTGCCTTCACAGTTAGTTCTTCTATAGATATGATCTTTTATTTTATGAGAACTAGAAAATATTCTTCAAGTGGAATTTCTGTCAGAAAATATTGAGGGGTTTTTTGTCATGTGTAACCCCCCCAAAAAATGTGCATGCAAAAATGGCACCACAGTTTCTATGAGAGGAAACAGAGAGAGAGAGAGGGAGAGAGAGAACAATGCCAATATACCAAAACAAAGAAAACAATCTGGTGAATTATAATTATTTTGCTAAATATACTGAGCAAACAAAAGGAGATAATTACTCTCCAGCTTATGACGGTATTGAAAGCCCAGAACATAATAATTATGTATCAGCAGCACTAGCTTCAATTTCAGAAGTAAAAAAAAATGGTATTCTGACCTAGATTGGATAGGAATGACAGGAATATTCTCTGCATCCTATCCCTCCCCAACATCTTCTGTATAAATAACTGCTGCCTCTTCCTGAGCAAGAGGAGATGGAGTTTGGGGTCTGGTGCTGGAATCAGTGTTGTCTCTTTGCTGCTCAGCGTTGTAGCTGTGCTACTGTCTACAAGTGGAAGCCTGAAGACAGGGAGGATGCCCTGCCTGAGCTCAGGAGGTATACTGCAACAAATTCAAGGGTGCTCACCTGCCAAGGATACACGCTGAATTCCAGAAACCAGAGGAGTTCAGGAAAATAACATCACTGCTCAGATATCCGACTGTGCCTGCTGAGTATTTATATGCATGTCAGCGGGATGTGACTAGACAGGATTGCTGTCTCTGGCTGCCCCTGGCTGGTGTGGGAGAGGTCAGGAGCACAACTCCAGGCACTCTCCTCTTCCCTCTCCCTCCAAAGGACCTTCTCTTTGGAATCTTGGAACCAAACAGTTCTGCATCTGCCCAGTGAAATGGCAGCTGGCAACAGTCGGCTTAAGCCCTTACCTCAGGCAGGAGTGAAGTTCCTGGCAAAAAGAGAGACATAACTCCAGCCTCTTGCTCCAAGGGCATGGTGCTAAAGTTTGGCCAGTTACTAGGGGGCTTCTTTGTGTGTCGCTCTGGGTGGTATCATAGGGTACAGTGAAGCATTTTCAACATACATCTTCCAAACCAGCTTGCAGCATTAGACAACAGCTTCTCTGAAAACAAGAGGGGCAAAACCAGTCTGATCAACTCATAGCTCTTTTGTGTCCTGAAGATTAAGTGTTGATTTGGGGTTGAGCACTTCTGAATGCTCGAGTCACACCTCTGTATCTCAGTTTTTGTGTTGTCAAAATGATTGTTTGTGAGTAAGGGTGGTGGCCCCAAACCAGGACTGTTCTGTCTTAGGGTTTCTGTGAGTGTAACACAAAGATATAAGTATTCAGAGGACGATGGCCAAGTGTAAGACATGGAACAAGAGAAAGACAGAGAGAGGAGCAATAAGAATATTGAATTGCAAGGTAAATTTCTGATGTCCTGTAGTTCTTGGCCAGTTGATCCTCTGGTGAAACCAGATTTTAGGGAGATTTGACAGTAGAAAATGATGAACCTTTATGCCTATTTTTAAATTACCAAATGGTAATGGAGTGCTGTAAGAACTTATTATTTTTTATGGCTGTTGAAGCAGTGGTTGCATATGGAGGGGTGACAGCACTTGTCTCCCCACCCTCTCTGGAGGAAGCAAGAAGAGCAAGCTCCACGGTTTTCATTTCAGTTTCCCTGCCTGTCCACATTCCCTCTTTGCAGCAACAGCAAATCTTGCCCTCCTCTGTTTCCATTTTCATTCCCTCTTCCCAGCAGTTCAGTAGGGACTTTGTGTTTCCTCTTCCCAGCAGTTCAGTAGGGACTTTGGTGGACCATTAGTCTTCTTATGGAGAAATGGGAATGACTTAAACATTTGGGATAGGGGAAAGGAGGGAAAGCTCTGGGTCCTAGGGGAAGGCAGGGCTGACCGTTGGCAGGGATAAGAGGAAGATGGGGAGAGCTTTTCAAAAGCCTACGGGAAGGCAGGGCTGACCGTTGGCAGGGTTAAGAGGAAGATGGGGAGAGCTTTTCAAAATTCAGATTTGCTTTCTAAATTTGAGGCTGACAGGCCTTACTGTGTCTTAGAAGGCAGAAGGAGTGCAAAGGGTAAGCAAAATGCAGTGAAGGGCTGCTGTGAGGAGAGCTAATGCTGTGTTGCAGAGGGAGCTGAGCTAATGACAGAGGGGAAAAAATGTCCTCAAGTGATGCTAATACAGCCTCTTCTTTCTCCGGTAAGCAAGATGCAGTAGAGTTGCAGAGGGAGCTGAGCTAATGACAGAGGGGAAAAAATGTCCTCAAGTGATGCTAATACAGCCTCTTCTTTCTCCTGCTCTCCATCCTACAGTGGGGGAGGTTATAACAGTTGAACCACACCGCTCAGTGAGATCTGGCAGGTTAGAGGGCTGCATCCAACCCCATCCCAAGTGATGTTGTTCTCCCCTCTGCACGGAAGAGGCAGAAAGGCAAAAGCAAATGGAGGCACATTTAATATTTGCAAACATTGTCAGAATTCCCTGAAGTGGAAGTGTGAAATGCTGCAGGTAGCCTTTGCAAAGGAAGAGTGGTGCTTTGTGTGGACCTTGAGAGAGGAAGAGGATTTGGCTCCAGTGGGGGAAACGGGGCAGCTGCAGCTTTAAAAACAAATAGCTTTGTGTGCAGCTCTGCTTGCTCACATCTGCATTTTGGTGTATAATTTGAACATTTCACAGGAGTGCTTTCAGATGGTCCGGTGAATGTTTTATGAGCTGTTAAGAAGTGGTGTGCATATAATTGAGTCTGCAGCCACCACTGTGTGTGGAGGGCACGGGTGCCTATTTTGGACTGACAGAGCGATGTTCAACCAACGCCTTGTATTAAGGAGGCCAGCAGCTGCTCATCACTGGTGCTTAACTCTTTACCCACCACATCTCTCCTACGAGCATCGCTCCAGGTTTAATGCAGTGTTGTTCTCGTTTCCGCCACTGGGTGCGTGCAGACATGCATCAAAGTAGCACACATGCAGATGTGGAAAGGGTCGGTCAGAGGGTGAGAGCCTCTGCATTGTGGATACTGGTGTCTGAGCCTGTCTCCTGGGGTCAGTGTAAAAGAATGGGCTCCTTTAGATTGCAACCCATCTGACTGATTTTACACGTGTCTTTAAAAGGGCACAGATTATGGCCTGCTGGGACTGCTTTCCCCTCCTGTGCTAGGAGGGCAGCCTGCAGTTACTTGCTCTGATTTAGATGTAGATGTCTAAATTTAGTCAGCATTTGTCAGCTGAGACCTTTCAGCTGTTTCCAAGCATTTGTATTCTCGCAAGAGACTTGCTAGACAACTCACACACCATGTAGGCAGCGATGTATACATTACGCACAGATACCTGTGAGCTGCAAGCAGGCAGAGGTGCTTTTCTATAGGTGGATTCTATAGTATAAAACCTAATGACTTTGCTGCAGATTAATGGGGAGAAGTGTAACAAAACAACTACAAGGAACTTGGAATCACTTACATCATCTGGATGCAGAATGCAGAAATTGCTTCACTTTCACAGATTTTCATTAATTGCTCCAGTCTGCCTTGTCTCTTTCTATTCCTGCCTCTGGTCCTTTATCTTTCTATCTCCATTTGTCAAATTTTTCAGCTCCTGAGGCAAGAGAGGCTTCCCTGAAGCTGCTGCCACCAGGAAAAATCTTTTCTGTTTCTTCATCACCTCCTTAAGTGGCAGCAGAAACTATCTTTTTTTTTGCCCTTCTTCCTCCTGGCTGTGTATTTTCCTTCACTGTAAGCAAGGAGTGTACCTTGACAACATATCGTAGAGGATGCTTGGGTAGAAGACATTCTAGATGATGATGAAGGATGCTGCTAACAATCCCACCCCCACCCTGCCTTATTTTGGAGGGATGTTGAATTGTAGCTGACAGTGAGAGGTGGAGGCTGCATTTTGGAGGAATGTTAAACTGTTATTGATAGTGAGAAGTGGAGACCCATGCCTTGCAACATTTGCAAACCACATGTAGAGCAGCCATCCACAATGGACTGTGTTTGGCCAGGCTTTGGTTTTTGTGGGATGGTAGCAATGAACAAAAGTGGTTTTGCTTCTTTGTATGAGGTGATGCGCACAAGCACAATGCAAAGACTGTATTTCCTTGGAAGAATTTAAAGCACCATTTTTTTCAGCAATCATGTACTCTTCTGTTAGTCCCCACCCCCCAACTCTTTTCTTGCCAATTGCAGGTACTACATGAGCCCCTGATTGACGAGGATCCTGTTTTCATTGCCACATGCACGGAGAGGGAGCTGCGCAAGAGGAAAAAGAGGAAATTCAGTCTCTGGGTTCGGCAGTGCTCGTCCACTGGTTTCATCTGCCAGGTGGGTTTTATCTGCCAGGTGGGTTTTATCTCTTCAGATGTCTTGATTCAGTTCCAGCAGGCCCTTAAATGTATTGCGGGAGCAAAGGTAACAGTCACTTCTCTTCATTGCCTTGCTGGGGACTACAGTCTGAATGCAGCAGATACTAGATCCAAAAGGACGGTGACGACAAGTTCCTGGTGCCCTGTTTGCTGTATGATTTATCTGAGCGTGCCCGTCTCTGATACTGTGCATCTGTCTGCCAGCCCTAAGCTAATTAAATTGAAATGGAGCTAAAAGGTCTGTCTGTTGGTATATCCTAAGTTTATCTAAATGTCTAGGTACTGTGAGTTCTGTCATTTTTAATGAGTCAGCTTCTCTCTCTAAGTGTAACACTGCATCTGTGATAGCCAGCAGTGTCCAATAGATGAAATCAGTATGGTACCAAAATGTCCATTTTGTTGTGAGGAACATATTAGTTGGGTTTCCTGTTACATCTCTTTTCACACCTCTACGTCTCTACCAAAGAAATGAAATCTAATGTGAGTTCAAGGTGAGATATGAGCTTGAGTGGGAGATGCGTTAAAGGGTTTGTTTTTAGTATTGTAGAGCCCTGGGGACAACTCTTCAAATTCTCAGATTCCCCAACTGCTGATGTGTATTTGAGAGCTCTTGAAAAATCTGTTTATTTTAAAATAGATACCTAGAGGTGAGGAGGCAGATATTTTCTGATACTTCTTTTTCCCAAGACTTTCTGTTAAAATGTAGTGTCCTGCACGTTCCCAAGCAGCAGCTCAGAGGTGCAGGTAGGACGTGCATACCGGCTGCTCAGGCTGAATGTGTGTCAAAACTGGGGAGGGCCTGTGGACTTGCTGCAGTTGAACATTAGTTCACAGTAAAATATGATCAGTAAATCACTATGACTATTTGAGTAGCTATGCAAGAAAAGAGGCTCGGTGAAAATGGGTTTACATTTTCAGCGATGCTATTAACTCTAGGAAGAAACTTAGGACCATGCCTCTTCCATCCAGGCTTTAAAGCAGTTGTTTTGTCCGATACAAAATAGATTCAACTCATGAAGCATCCTTGTAAGTTTTTGTGACCAAGGCTTTTCGAAAGTCATTTACTACACAGAGGCAGTGTCTTTAATCTCCAAGATGAACTCCACCAGTCCCACACACAGCTTATTACTGAAGTGTAATGGGTACAGCAAGCACAAAGTTTGCTGATCCCTCTTGCCATGCTTCCCCCAGCCAACTGCCACCAGACTAATAAGTCTTCAGACACGCCAGAGGTTTCAGATTCGGAGCTGTAATTGCGTTGCACCTCCCGTCCTGTCCATTGAGAGAGGAAATTAATGGAATGTCAAATGAAACAGAATAGATGCTTAGCACCACCCTAATCCTCCTGCTCCCTTAATGAATTAGATACTCATGCCTCGCTTGCATCCGGATGACGTCCAGGATCATCCTAGCAGCAGCCTTCTATTTTCATTCCGTGACTTGGCTGTAATCATGCTAAAATGATTGGGTGAGAGGGACCTTAGGGAAGGGTGAAAAAGAATTTACAGGAAGATGAATGTTCATGCTAAAATGGAAAAACCTCATCTGGGGAGGATGGGGATCTTCAACTACGGTGTGTTTCAAATGCTACATTCAGTTATGTGTCACACGTACGAGGGATCTTGCAGAATCCAAAGCACTTATTTGGTGATTGGTTTATTTACTGTATTAAAACAGAGGGATTTTTCTTCTGTCTAACATGTGGAGAGAATTGATCTAAATGAGAAGAAAATCCAGTGTTTTCCCTCTTCATGTGCACACCTTCACCTCCATCTCTTGTGAAACTGCCATCATGAAAGGAGGACTTTTTGCCTGATAGTTAAGGACTGACTGGTCTGTTATCTGTCTGCTGTCAGAAAAGCCTTCCAGCACCCACTTGGAAATACGCAGATACTCTGTAATACTGTCTGCATGAATTCCTTCCCTCACTGTTTCCACATGATGACATCGAGGTCATTTTATTCAGGATAAAATATGACTATAAACACTTCATAATCAAGCTAATTCAGTTTCAAAAGTCTGAATAATATATAGCTATAAAAAGGTGAGGCAGCCCAGGCAGAAGAGGGAAGTGAGATACATATGACTGGCTCTCAGGAATGGAAGGAACCTCTGGAGGTCTGTGGTGCTCCTGGCCAAAAGCAAGGTCCTCTAAACTTGAATGGTGAGCCTGATGTTAAAAAAATCTTCATTTGAGGACATCCCAGTTTTCCCAGTGATCTGCTTTTCCTGATGAAAAGAGTTCACATTGGCTTGTTTTCCTAGTGTAAAACTGCTGTCAGTGTTTTGAAGCCACATGGTGAGCTACTGTGTGAACAACTCCTGGTTGGCAGCTGACAGGGCCGTCGTTAATGTTAGGAGTTTCAGCTGTTTGACTCCTCAGATTGCTCTGTCTGCTTGTTCTCATGAACAAAACTGAATCACTTTTTGGGGTATAAATAAACACTTCTGTTTGATGGGTCCTCATTTGCTTTTTTACGCAAATGGTGTTTCATGAAAAAAACAGCCCAATAAGCCGTTCATGGAACAGAAGGGGCATGAAAACTAAATACTGCTTATGGATATAAGAAGGTGCATAGGCTTATATGTACATAATATAAATAATGTATATATATTAGACTACTTTTCTGTAATACAGATAACGTGAGTCCACCCTGACAGTTACATCTCTGCTTTAAGATGGATGCACAATTTGAGATCATATCTCTGCTTTGGAGATACGCATCTTGTTGCAGTGAATAGATGCTTTGCTGAGTATCTTTTCACAGTCAGCTGGCCAAGTGGGAACATGCAGGAGGGACAGATCATTCAGACAAAGTAAATATACATCTACAGTAGCTGGGAACATGAACAAAACCTTTCAGAGGGTTAGAAGGGCTCCTGTAGGACTTTATCAAAGCAGGCAGTAAAACTGCCCTGATACTGTTGCTTTTTTCACCCGTCCTTGATGCTGGACATCAAGGTGGCAGCAGCTGCTGCTGCAGCAGGGGGCTTGGGGCCTTCTCATTTCTTTCTTTCTAATGCAATGAGAACAGCAAACTCAGCTTTCAGGACCTCAGGTGTCCTTCTCTGCTCCATCTTCTCTCCCGTTTCCTCATTTCCCTCCTATATATTTCCCTACAGATGTGTTACCACTAGGATACTTTTCAAACCAATATTTTAATATCTTGATTGCAGTTTAAATGACCACAGGAGCTGAGAAGTGTTTATTTTTTAGAATATTTCCTAAGTCATCCTATTTAAAACAAAAATCTAGTTGTGTCAGGTTTTATTTCTCTTTTTCTTTCAAAAAGTCTGGAATACTTGTGTGCAAAAGATGTGCATAAATATGATTGGCAGGATGCTTTCATTTTAGATATAGCAATAGAGCTCATCAAAAACTACAGAGAGTTCCTAAATACCTGATCAGGGCTAGTTATTCTGTCCTTGTAGGACACGTCATACTCTCTCTTTCCTTTTTTTGTGCAGCTTATAAGGCATGAACATGGTCACGAGTAACGGTTACTAAGTGATGGTTAGTCCTTGCGTAGCTGCTGCTGCACCAGAAGGTTTTCCAGTCATTTTGCAGGAGGAGAAGGAAGCACAGGAAGCTGGTGCCGTGCACTGAACCCCATGAGAAGTCAGGCAGGACAAGGTATACCCATAGTGCCTCGTCCAGGACCACAGGCCCATGGCACAAACATAACCCTAAAGACAGTCCTCAAAGAGCCATCAGTCAACAAAATGGGAGGCAGTATGTAGATGGTAGAGAGCACTGCTAAGGAAAGGTCAGGCAATATTAATCACTATGATAGGCGGTAATGGAATTAGCTCATCAGCCTAATTATTTGCTTAAAAAACTGTGATATCATGGTGAAGATTACTTTATGGATGTGTGTATCCTTTCCTATTCCTTGGGATGAAATTTGTTCTCTCAGGCTATTCTGGACACTCTTGCCTTCCCACACCCCTCTCTGCCCTCAACCATATGGGCTCTGCACTTGCTTTTACTCATTGTTAGAAAGTTCTTGCAATAATGCATTTGATTTTCACTACTATCCCTGTGAAATGTGTCGCTAAAATTTATGAAGTCCTTTAGATCCTTGTGCTGGGGCTGAGTTTGAGTTTCCACCTTCCACTGCTTACCCTGAAGAAGAATAGATTAAGGAAAAAGACTGTGTCTCTGCAGCTTGGCTCTTCCCACATTACTGAAAAATCAGCAACTTGCACTATAGTGCTGACCAAGGAGTGCAGCCTGGATCATGGTGGCCTCCCCATGAGAAGGGTAAGAAATTGCTCTCTCCCTGAAGAGCAGCGATCTCAGTGAAGTGAGGTGTTTGAGACTGCTCCACAGATCAGTGGCAGAGCAGGGAGTAACCTCAGCTCACCTGACTCAAACAGCAGTGCCTCATCTGCTGCTTTCTGTTGCTTTTCCTGCTGCACCGTCTCTTCTTTTCTTACAGTATCTCTCAGTTGCAGCAAAAAAAGAAAGCAATGGAAACATCGTGCTTTTGTAGTAAATGCTATCGTTCATTCTTGATTTCAAATAGGGCAAGTTCAGTCAGCTCGAATACTTCATAATCCTCCTGGTTTTACAGAGTGAGAACTCTTCCAGAATTTAGGGAAACTGAAATGGTGCCCCAAAGAAGTCACAGTTTCACAACACACCGCAGAAGTGCGTTCAGGCACTGGGAAAGGAAGGGGTAAATAAGCCTGGAGTGAGTTTTGTGTTCAAGGTCAGAGTTGCAGGAGTGTTAGCCATCTGTGCGTTTGTTTAATAAAGCTGCTCAGAAATGTTGGTGTTTCAGCCTGTTTAAGTTCTGTTTAGAGATTAGTCTGAGCCCTTTGGTTTCTTTAAATACAGCTCCGATAAGTTCTCTGTTGCTGAAACAGTTGCATCTGGAATGCACAGATGTAGTGGCTGCTTTGAAAAGGTTCTCAAGGTCAGGCTTTGACTGGAAGGGGATCCTAGGAAATCTG